TAATACATCAATACTAGGCTTATTTAAAATTGAAGTAATTGAATTATATATAACAGTATCAGAATGACTACTAGATTTAGAAGGAAAATTTAGGGGATACCTTGAAAACTTGTAAAGATCACAAGACTTGATTCCATAAGTTATATCTTGTTTAGTTTTAAGGTCCTGAAAAACACAAGAATTGTTCTAAAAACAGTCAAAAGATAGGTTTGATCAAGCAATTTCCCTACAGAAAGGAGGTTACGCCTAAATTCTAGTGTATACAGGACGTTTGAAATAGAAATTCCTGGTGTTAATTGAACTGTTCTTGAATACTTAATATGTTTAATTTATCCGTCAAGTAATACTGCTGCTATATGTGAATTAAGCTAAGTTTGATGCCATATGATCTGATGCTCCATTATCTATGATCCATGCATTCTGATTAAATGATTTCTTCATTAATTGAGCATTATGAACAGAAGTAATACTTGCAAAATTAACTATAGTGATAAGATCAGATGCTATTTCTTTGCCACTTTATATCATCTTGACAACTTGTTGAACACAGTTGAAACCACAGCAGGATCTAGACCATCAAAACAAGAACCAGCTCCACCATTAAACTCCATTGGAGATTTTCCAAGAATACCAGAATTAGTCTTCACATGTGTCTTTGATTTCAGAGCTGACCACCACTCTAGATAACTAATGATCTTGAAACATTCTTGAATAGTATGACCACTAGCCTTACAATGATCACAAGACTTATCATAATTCAACCTCTTATAAACTCTCCTTTGCTATGAAGTAGCACCTCAAGATCCACTACTAGAGCACTAAACTCTGGTAATAGATCAACAACATCATTTAGTTTCTTCTGCGTTTCAATCTGCTGTAGCATGTAATAAGACTTGGTAACAGGAGAAAGAACATCAGACCTCAACATGTTTGTATGACTAGATCATAAGACTTGTTTAATCAAGTAAGAAGTTTCATCAGCTTATTACGCTGATTGTAACACCCTAGAAATTCCTTTCTTTTAAATACCCACTTTACTTTTTAAAATACGATTTAGGGATATCTAAGACATTACCGCCACCGTGAAAACGGCTAAGGAAACTATCAAAGATACACAGCGGAAAACTTTAAATTAAAAACCGTTTAAACAAGTCAACTCAAAAGTCAACCAAACGAAAGTAAAGTTTAAAACCAAACAAACAAAGTCAAATAAAATCAAACTACAACTTGGAACCATTAAAGGCCCTTTATTCAAAACCGTTCCAAAACCAAGCCTTCGCGTTAGTCCACATGAAAAGTATCATAAATAAACAAAGCATAAAACACATCGTAAACTATTGGAAACTAGCATGATTCACTCTTCACTCATGCTCCGTCATGAATATGCTTCAATACCTGAAAAAGTTTATCTCTAGTTGTCCCCACTGCTCTCCATTAAAAATGGGTCATCATAGGGCCAAGATAAAGACATGGCCAAACACACAAACACACACAATCAGCAAAGGTGAGTACGTAAGCGTAATTAAACACACTAACATGCTTTCACCTATCAACACACACTTACCTCGATGCACCTGTTTACAAGCACACACAACAATCAACAAAACACTTTAACTAGACACTAAATAATTCATTTAGCGTTGATTACGCATCGAACGGGTTTCCAACTATACCTCCCCCAAATAAATTCAGGTTAACTGACACGTGAGCTAACCATGCTAGCGACAAAACCACTCAAAGGTGGCGGAATTCCTGCGCATAATAATAAATAAAAAGGAATGTACAGCGTCCTGTACTCCATTAGAAGTTATGGTTAAATATAAAACCCCATAACTCCCCCCATTGTTCATACTCAAGGTATATACGTTCCAAGAGTTTTGGTGCGTAATCTCTTTCACTTTACGTTATTTACATGTTATTGGACTTGGTGATGACTCTCAAAGCATAATAAATCAATCAACAATAATTATTCAATCAACCAAACATACCAATTTAATTCTTGAATAATTAGTGACCACATATTATTTAATGTTGAACCATTTTTAATTCTACCTTAGTGTCAAAGACACCTTAAACGCATAAAGCGCCAAAAATCCTATCCCTCGGTGTTAAAAACACCTTAAGTGCACAAAGGCACCAACATACAATTTATTCCTTGTGTACATAGACACTTATATAGCTCCTTCCTCATGCTTAAAGCATCAATAAAAACTATTTGAACCATAATAAAATTCCTTTTTAATATTCCAAACATAACTAAGCATGTAATTTAATTAATCATGCATTCTAACATGCCATAAATAAAAGTGTGGTTCAAACACAACATGCCAAACATTAATTTTCCAACTATTAATCCAGGCCATCTCAAATAAATCATGCTTTCTAATTTAATCACCAATATCAATAATCCACAATTTCCAATCATAAATCTTAGCATGATACTATTTATATTTAGGATTAATCAAATCAAGCCTAGCATGATACTACATCACCAAAAATATGCTAAGTACGCGAACGTACCTTGAGTACGATTTTAAAATTGCCACGACTAGCAGAAATTGCTTACTTCAAAGTCTCCTACACATTAAATTCATAATAGAGTATTAAAATCCACTCTAAATAAATTTTCAGCAATATATACTATTTTAAAACCCCTCATAATTCAATTAAAGTAAGCTGAAATTATATTTAAAACACCATAATTAAGACTCAATTAATGGGTAATTAAAATTTCTTCAAGAAACATAATAATAAGTGTTCTACATAAAATTTCAGCACTTTATTTTAATTAAAACTTGCTGTAATTAAGCCTTCAAACACTTAAAACAAAGGTCTACCCCAATATACATCATAATCCTTCAATAACTCATAAATCAAGAACCTAGGGTTTCAAAAACTGGGGTTTTTTAATTAAAAACCAAATCTAAAAATTAATTAACATAATTATAATAATCAAACATCAAATTTAAATCCCAAAACTCATAATTTACAATTAGATTAAAGCATAGATTAAATTTGAGCAAGAAAGATTTGATTTTTTTTTTCCGAAACTCACGACTGTCGACAGCAGGCCGGCGCAACTGTCGGCTGTTGCCAGCACTGGTGGTCGCCGCTACTACCGGCTGGGTGGCTGGTGGTCGGCGGCCCACCGGTGGTGGTGGTGGTGCAAAAACAAAAGGGGAAGGGGAAGGAGAAAGAAAAAGAAAAAGAAAGAAGAAAAATAAGGAGAAAAGGGAGAGAAGTTTACCTTGGGTTTTCTCCACTCTGGGCAAAGTTGAATTGCCTCATAAGAGGAATATTTATACCCCTTCTCTATCACCCTTTTACCCTAAACTTTCCTCCTTTAGTTTTTCCTAATCCCTTCCCTACTAAAACTTGTTAAAATCATAATTTCCTAAAATAAAACCCCAACTTTTATAAAATAAATAATTAAACAAACTTTCCTTTAGTAAAAATATTTCCAAACTTACATAGTATAAATAATTAAAACACCATAGTTAAAATATTTAAATTATTTAAATACCCTTATAAAATACATATTTTAAATAAAATACGTACGGGGTATTACACTGATTAGCCTCCATAATCTTCTTCAGATGCCACAACTACACTGATTCATAGCACCAACTGCAGTATGAAAATCCTTTTAGAATTTGCAATTAATACCGGACTTGCTTCAATTGACCATATTATTCAGCAATTGAAGCTTCATTTTGTTGTATACACGATATGTATGTTCCTCTTCAACTGAAAAATATGAGGAGCATTACTCTCACAAAAGCGTTCAAAAATTTCCTTCCGTAGTTCATCTGATGAATTAACAAACATGAAACTACTAGCAAGAGACTTAGCAGTCGAATTCAGAATCCAAGACACTACCATGTAATCATTCCTAACCCACTTCTGACAATCAAAAGAATCAGGTTCAGGCATGCTCAATGTTCTAGCAACAAATCCAAGCTTAATCTTAGCTATTAGAGCCATTTTTACAACTCTACTCCAATTCAAGAAATTTTAAGTAGTAAGAGGAAGACTCACAATCTGCACACCTGGATGATCACTATTAGAGATGTAGTAAGGATCATTGAAATTTATTGAGTGTGAATTCATCGAGTTCGAGAGCGAATTCGCTTCTCCAACCATGTCAAAATTGAAAAAAATCGCAAATTAAATCAAAATTTTATGAAATCACGAAGAATTCCTACTCGATTATCGAGTAAATCAAGAAAGAAAGAAGAAATCAGAAGATTGTGGTCTCTGATACCATGTGCACTGGACAAAATCAATCTTTTGGAAGAAATGAGAATCAAATAAAAGAGAGAAAAAATGGAGAAAAATCAGAATTAAGATTTTATTATGTCATAATCTAGTGAATGAGAGGTATTACTGGATATATATAGCTCTACAATTACAGGAAGATTCTAGACAAAATCTACAAAATATCTTAGCAAATTACTTACTGAATTCTATTTTATGCAAAACAGAATTCATAACAGAATTGCCATGCTGGCAAACCAAAATATGAGCTGAGTTTGCTCATCAATTAGGTTTAGGATTTTATATTTTGTGCGAATTCAAGGAAGTAGTAAAAAAAATCTTCAAAATTAAGATAAACAATTCCATTAAAATATTCCTGCTACAGTTGATTAAAATATAATATTAATAATTGATTAAAATTTATAATAATGGATCTAGTTTTAAAGCATAAACTAAAATGAATTTTATGATATAGAAATTACAAATTTTGTAAAAAAAAACAAAAAAAATGATGTATGAAATTTACAAATTAATTTAGAAAATTGGCAAATTGCAGATTTTTTTTTAAAATTTGTATTTTGTAAATTGCAGCCATTTAAAAAAAATGCAAATTGCAGCCAAAAGTAGTTATAAATTGTAAATTGCAATTCTATTCAATTTTCATCGGTTTTCGTGTCGAAAAATTTTCGGTCTAGGTTTTAGCGGCCATTTTTAGTCCTTCAAGATCCAAATTGAGCTCGGAATTGGCAAAAAAGATTAACGTAAATGCCTTGTTTTTACAAGAAAAAATAATTGCCCACTAATCAATACATTTTTGTTACGCAAAACAAGACACTTACGTAATTTTTGGTTTGAATCACATTTACTAGTAACTTGTAGAATATTTTCAGTTTGGGAAATGACTATGATACAAACTTACCAATTTCAAGTTGAGCCACGCAGTGTGAGTCCTTTTCTACTTCTATACATAATTACTAACTAGTACATTTTGGTATGTAGAATGCATTCACAAGTGAAGATTGAGAAGAAGCCCTTTAGCACAAGCCTAAAACTTGAATGACATCACGCCGCCCTCTTGTGCTAGGTAACATAGAAAACAAGTCTGGCGAGCCATCAGGAAGCCTTGTCCATTTCATCAGTTGACTTCCCAGCCAGAGGCAAACCAGTGAAACCAGATATGCTTTCATCTAGGTATGACTGTATGACAGAGTAAAGGCTGCTCTTTACTTCTAATGTAGCAAATTCGCAAGAAACTTGGAAAGATGTTAGATAAGAATGGCCGTGATATATAGCAGGGCTCCTTAGCTTGGCACTACCTGAAAGTATGCAGACATTATCATATATCAAAGAGTCACAACAGAAACTAATAAGAAGGTAGGAATGGCACCATTTGAACCTTGTGGATATGATCATGTGCCTTTAGGGCATCAATAATGCTATCAACCCATCTGCAGATAGACAAGTTAAAGATTAAGACACTATAGACAAGGTGTCTTTCAGACAAACTTTATCCACATGCAGGTTACTACTATAAAATGCACATTTACGATAGACATTTATTCCTTATCGAAGCGTGCCCCTTAACTATTTTTTTTTTTAGGGAAAACAGCGTGCCCCTTAACTATGCTGTACACATAATTCTAGTAGAATTTCCTGCATATTATATACTTTTCAACTGATGAAGACATGGAAGTGTTTGGATTTTCCAAACAAGTGTGTTTACTTTGAACACAGGTTATGAAATATAATTTACTAGGCAAAGTCCCCTAGCAAGAGTTTCCATTTTTATTTCAAATTACAATCACATTCACAGTTGCTTTCAGGCACAAAGGCCAGCCTGATTTTTCAAACAAACGAATGATGAATTCTGAGTTCTTTTTCCTGAAGAGGGCTAATGTTTCATTTTTATCTGCAAACAGGGATGTAAGGGAATCAGCCTCATTTCCTCAAATGTTCAATTTTTCACCCAATCCTCAGACGAACCTAGTTAGAAACATAGAAGCAGAGGCAATGGATTCTTCAGGATGTGAAAACGTTTAAAAACAAAAAAGAATTCAAAATTAGAACATGGGATGTTTTCCAAAGGTTGATTTGATATGTAGACAGCATATTAATAACAAAATACTCTAAAATACCTATTACACAGTGCCTATAGTTGACATAATTACATAAAGAACAGAATAGCATATTGCATTTAATGTCAAGAATTACCCGTCAAGTCCAGGGTTTAGAGGATAGTAGATATTTTCCAGGCCTAAATTTTTTGCAGCCAAGCCAGTTGTCTCGCCAATACAAGCAACTGCATTATTCCACTTCCCCACAGAAGGGATAAACTTCACCCAAGCTCTACAACAATTTAAGATACAAAACCCAAATTTAGACATCAGAATGCAAAATATTAAACTTGGATACTAAGTTAAAGCTAATGAAGGAACTAATGGCTTAAACATAGATCTTGTAAGTTTAACAAGTTTTGAGCCTCAACTTGGATCAAATATAAGCAATGCAATTTATATTGGCGCAAAAGAGAGGATTGAGTCAATATGTTCCTACCAGAAAAGATACAAACACATATTATCTATGGACGGTTCAGATCTAAAGCATATCCACCAGTTAGTTTTTTTCTTATAGGAGAAACCATACCGAACAGCAGAAGGGGAAGCAACTGCAATGACAGGAGCAGCAATGGCTTTTTCTAATAGCAGAGGATCAACATGTTGAACAGCTACCTATAAAAAGAAGACCAAAAGTCAAGCTCATGAAGGATTAGATATAGTAAGTAACCGATACAACCTTTGGTCAATGATGGGGTCTGAAAGAAGTGAAGCTACATTCACCCCCAACCATCAAAACTGATATAGGCAGCTAATTAGATGGCTCACAAGTCACTGGAGAAAGAAGAAAAGAGAATACAGAAATAATAGAAATATACTGTGCATACCGTAGTATAGGTATTTAGCCTAGTCACATCAAATCCCCGAGATGAAAGGCCATCCTCTGGAAAATAACACATTCAATTAATGTCTACTTTGGGAATAATATATAATGAAAAACTTAAATGAGACTTGGTAATTTGTGTAACCTACAGTGGCATAATTTTTATTACCACAGTTAGTGTTTACACAAATCAAGTTAGTTGAAACTATGTTCTTCTCATCTTTAACTAATTAGATACATTCGCCCCAAAAAAGGAGCATCAGAGTTAAAACACGACACTATGAACCAGAGTTTCTGAAGAGCTAGTGCTATACAAAACATCCAAAACAGCATACTACAAATGCTCAACCAAAAGGGCTCCTCATAGTAAACAGGGTCGGATGTACCAATTCACAATCACTTAGGCACGGACAATATCATCACGTACCTAAACAAAGATCCAATGTACATACATGGCGTTCTCATGTGCAAAAGAGATAGCCTATCTGCACATAACTAAGCAGAGAACGAATATGCACAATTTCAAACTCAATATCACAGAGTTCCACACTTCGGTCCTCAATTCTGTTGTTGCTAGACTTGCTAAATTATTCTGATGAAATCCATTTCATAAATCTATTTGCCCAACCCTCAAGCAAGAAGAGGAAAAGAAAACTGCACACACACAATTAAGTGCATGCACGCATAAAAGTTTCTTATCTGAAACAAGTAATATCAAGTATCAGAATAATGGACGGTGGGAGGGTTTGTGATTAAACAAAGCTCTAAAGTCGGAGCATTCAAGGAGACGATGACACAGGCTTGGGCTGTCACGAAGAGGGTGGTGATCCAAATGATTGGATCTAATTTGTTTGTAATCAAGTTTTTGTACTGGCGAGATAAGGGGAAGGTTTTACAGGGCTACCCATGGTGCTTCAACAATCAACTATAAGTTATCAATGAAAGTTCAGGCAATGAACAACAATCTGAGGTAAAGTTAACACTCTCCCTTCTGAGTGCAAATTAAAATTCTGCCTTTCAATTGTTAATTTGTTCCAGTTCGTAAAGCAATTGTTGTGAAACAGAAATTGAAGTAGAATATATAATAATAATTTCAGTTTGGACAATTATAAGAGGGTAAAAGTCAATTTTAATATCTCGGTGTCGATTCCAACATATTAAGTGTAAGAATGGGAGGTTGACGAAGATTGATTTTGCAAATGAATGTCGAAAAACTTTCTTTTGCTACATGTGCAGAATAATTAGGCATAGTCAGAAAGATTATTGCAATATGACTGAAGAAGACCAGGAACATGGAATGGGATGGGGGGATTTTTGAGAGCCACAACTTGCAGAGGGGCTCAAAAACTGATGGAGAAGGTGGAGGGAGTAAAATCATGTTGAAAGGTGCTTTATTTGTGCAAACCTAAACATATATGAAAGAGGATCCATTGGTAATGGAGGATAAACATGCTTTAATTGAGAAAAGGAAGAAAAATACAGGAGAGGGGTTTCATGGTTTGTCTTAGGGTTCACGGATTATTTAGGCTATATAGTTCATCTGGTACAGAAATAATCCTCCATTCAGTGTTAAGTATTGCTATCACAACAAAATTTATCTACTCTATAAAAATCTTATATGATCAAGACAATAACAATTTAAAAAGATAAACACAAGAGATTGATCTTGAGGGCAATAGAAAACACACGGCTATAATATCTCATTAGAAGTCAAATTTTAACGTGGAAAAGAAAAGGGAAAACACATAAATAATGAAGATTTATGAATTAAGCATTTCAATCAAAATAAGAATTTACTACTTCTTAATTGCATAAAAATGTCTTGAAAGTAGAAATTTAAATGCAATTCATCCAATAGAGCATTACATATACTACCTCCGTTACAGGTTATGTGCAACGATTGAACATGTTCCCTCTCTACTTTATGTCAAATCGTTACACATAACCTGTAACGGAGGTAGTAAAAACAAAATTCATAACATTTCACAGAGTGAATCTTACTATCTCCATTACATATTATTTGCAACAATTAGACATTTTTCCTCTCTATTTTATGTCAAATCGTTACAAATAATATGTAACGGAGGTAGTATTTCTATTTAGCTGCATAGCTTGAGTTGCGGACCACAAAGTTGAAACATTTTTAAAAAAAAATCAAAGACAAAGGCTATGGAACCATTTATATTGTCAGAAAAGGTCTGAATAATTTGTTTCAAACCTTTTCATGAAGCCAAGCAAGCTATGCCAAAATGACAACATTAAATCATATTTAATGTTTTAAATAAACACATCTAATAATTTAAAAATATATATATAAGATGCTTTGAGCTTACCAATTTCACTGCTAGCTTTTACTGATGCTGGATATAAGACCCTGCATTTTTCATCTCCATGCCTAGGAAGTTCAGATGCCAAAACCTTAGCAGTTGCTGAAATCGAAACTCCCAAATATTGCCATCAGTTGACAATATGAATACATTAGACATCCATAGTGCACTACTAGCAACCAATTATTCACAATTCCAGCATATTAGATCACGCAAACTAAATTGTTTCCTAGAATTTAAAAATCAAAAGCATCTCATATATGTCCTTCCAAATGGAAAAAATAAATAAACTAACCAAAGACGGCTTGAATGCTTGATATGTTATATATCAAATCAAACTAACCAAAGCCTATGATTAACAACCTGGACATAAAGGGTAACAAAATAGAGGAGAGACAAATACACATAGAAAAAAGTTTTTTTTTTTTTTTTTTTTTCCTACCACCATTAAAAAGCACGGTAACCATTTGACTACCTTAAAAATATTTTATTTTACCACCTTAAGAAATACTTGCTCCATTCTTTATTACTTAACCTTTATTCCTTTTTGGGAAGTTTCTTTTTACTTGACCTATTTCTTTTTTGGCAAATCTAACACTACACTTTTTCTTATTTACCCTCACATTTTCACCATAATAAAAACCATATACCCTTTGTTACCGTACCCCCTTTCTCTCTCACCTCAATCATTCAACCCCAATTCTTCATAGTTCACTAGTGACCACCATATCCTCCTCCTCCAAGTTATCCATGACAGCTACCCATCTCCACTACCCTAACAATATTTTTGAAACACCACCACAACATCAATCATTACCGTACCCTTATCTCCCTCTTCACCATCAATGGTCTCCAAACTCCTGCCCTCACACCTTCTCTCGTCACCTCCAAGGGTCTACCGTACACCGTCGTCACCGCCTTAATATGTAAAAGCACTTAAAGTTCAAAATCGAGACCATGGTGGTCGAATTTGGCTAGCAATTTGTAGATCCAAAACCACCATAACCAAATTCTACCACTAATCTCTCAATTTATGAAAAATCTGTGACAATTTGGGGAATGAGAGGAAAGAGAAAATACCCTTACTCCATGGACGGTGGTTGGTGGATTATGGGTATTTTCTCTTTCCTCTCCATTATTTAATTTGGTGGTGGTATGAGTGATATGGAAAAAGGTGATAAAATTAAGATGGCATATTGGAGTAGTAGTATTGATGAGATAACAGTTGGTCTCGCTGTCTCGTCGTTGTTAGATGGTAATTGTTGTCGAGACATTTTTTGTGGTGGTCGCATTTGGTGATGAAAGATGGTTTGGAGGGGAGTCGCCGTTGTAGAGGAGAGCCGGTGTTGTTGTGGTAGTGAAGGGGCTGCATGCATTTGTGGTGGAGGTTGTAAATCTGACTTGTAGTGGTGAGGTTGGTGACAGTGACGGGAAAGGGTAGGAGGGTTCGGTGGGTAGTGGGTAAGGGCAATATGGTATTTAGCTTTCTTTTCAACTTTTTCTTGTAGGTCAAGTAATGAAAAACAGAGGAAGTATATATATATATATGTGTGTGTGTGTGTGTGTGTGTGTGCGTGTGTGTGTATTCTAACTATTAATCCATTAAGTGGTGGCAAAAGCAAAAGAATGTTTTTTAAGGTGGCAACTAATAATTTTTTCTTTATTTACTACCATAAAAAAATCTTTTATTGAATATAATAACCATTTGATGACTTCCGTCCATGAATCTATTAAGTGGTGGCAAAATCATCCTTTTTCATTTTTTAAAGTGATAAACTATACTAAATATCATTTTAGGTAGTCAAAATCAAAACTGAGCTTTCTAAAGGTGGTAAAAGTCAAAGAATCCTAGAAAAAATTATAACATTTCACTTACAAAATCTAATAAAATTCAACAAGTCATGATAAAATAAGCCATTCATCATGCTATTATTTGTACAAAATACCACCATTGTCAAAAAGCATTTTATACGATAAAGTTATAAGAATTCATGGATTAATGGATTACTTTGATATCAATGCATGAGAATCACCTTTTGATGGTGCAAATGCAACTTCAAGGCAATTTGACGACTGCACCACATCCTCAAACACGGTAGCTGTACAGCACCAACTACTCCCACTTTAACATTTGGTGATCCAGCAGCCCTATATAAGCAAATGTATTAAGGATTTAGAGCTATAAAGCAAAACAAATAGTCAGGGTAATTACTCAAGTTAAATTACAACCAATTAAGAAAAAATACTCCAAAAACCAGTGAAAAAAAGCCAAATAATTCAGTCATGCAACAGATTCAAAATACCAAAAAAATGTATTATAGAAACATGTATCAGCAAATGGAAACCAATAAAGATATTAAGAGCAGTAGTATGCCTAGTCAAAATCCCCAAGAACTAGAAGAAAAAGAACCTTTCATAAGTAAAAGGATATCAGCCTAGACTTGTCAAATTTCAACCCGATCCGCAAACCCAACCCGAACCCGACCAAGATTTGTGGGTCTCGAACAAATATTTTTGATCTGTAACCTGATTTAACCCGAATCTGTTTAACCCATAAATTTGCAGGCCAAACCCGAACTCATCGACCCATTTTAATGGGTTTTTCTCAAAAAATTACATTTATTTGAAAATTAATATCTAGTTTATTGATTGAGTTTGATCATTTATCTATCAAATGACATTCATTTCTCTCTCATATAACTCTTGCTCAGAGTCACACCAACCACCTCCTACATCAATTATCGACCCACACCAGATACATCCGCATAACTCACATCACCTTCATACCATCAACTACACAGCCTACATCCGTTCAATTAAAAAAAATATATTGAAAATTAAAAAAAAAAAAAATCAAAGAAAGCTTGAAAATATCAAAAACTTCCAAAAAAAAGCTAAAAAAATCAAATAAAAAAACGTTGTAAATCCGTTAGGTTGACCCGAACCCAAAACATTGGGTTAGGGTTGAGTATTTCTCAACCCGTGACCCGACCCAAAATGACCTGTAACCCGAAGTGACCCAATCCAAACCCGACCCAACCGACCCGATTGACAGGTCAATATCAGCCTCTATGCTAACCAAAAGGAAATAAACTAACTATTTCTATACAAAAACTACTTCTATTCATTGCTAGTCCAATAATTTTTGACGAGTGAAAAAGACCAATCAAGGAATAAAATTTGTTATTGGTAAGTTCTCAAGATTTTTGAAAATAAAGTAAATAAAACCCGCTTTTAAATTTTTTACACCGTATTACCTCATATTTTCTATGTTTTCTTTTTTTCAATTAGTAAAGCCACCACAAGGATAATATAATCTAATAGTCTATTCAATGTTTGTTCTTGATTACAAAAAATAGTAAATAAAAAAATCTAATGATCTATTCAATGCAGTGTAGATTGCCTAGCAAGGCGTAAAATTAACCTTAACCAATATAGTTAGATGGTTCTCTAAAGTGAAAATTTTATCCAATATAATTATATTCCTACCCTCTTCCAATCACACTTTCTTCTTTTCTTTTCCTTGCACTATATCACAAATATTCCTAATACAAAAGGATAATATAAATATGACTTTATTAAGTGACTTACACAATATAGGACCACTTTAATGCCATTACTAGCTAATTTGTGTACCTTAGGGAGCAACACATTCAAATTTAAACTTCTAAACAAATCATTAATTGGCCATTGAATTATGTTACACCACATTCTGTTATAAAGGAAGAGAATGGGTGAAACAAAGAGAAGTGTTTCTATATGTGGAGGGAAAAAAGGCACTGAAAATGAAATCCACAAAAGGTGGAATGTCATCCATATAACTCATTTTTACCCGTTTAGGAGAATGTAGGTCATCAAGAATCTGATAGTATTCAATTATAAAAGGGACTGCATGACAGAAACCAAAAACTCCTTACAGCAAGTTGTAATGCTAACCTCCATGCATCAAGAAATACTAATCCTGCCTCGGGAGAAGTGATAATGATCCAGTCAAATTTAGTGTCTGCAGTAGTTGGTAAACAGATCAACAGAAATTCGCTTAGATATAAGCATTTCAATAAGTCTACAAAGCTGCAGGCATGATAAAGTGCTGATCAGGGTATGATAATGATTAGCCAAAGTAGCAGGATACAACTATATTGTGCTCACACGAAATTCGTGAAGAGAATTAGAGGTCGAGTTACCCAATATCTCAAGGTCATATAACCATCGATCAAATGAAGCTATGGATTTTATATATACCTAAGATTAAATTTATTAAACACAGAACTGTCAATTGAATCTTATCGCTCATTTCTGAAAGAATAATCATTCCTTAATTCAAAAGTATTGGAGTATGATGCCATTTACATATGTGTAAAAACAAAACAAAAAACCAAAAAAATAAAAATAAAATAACATGCAATGATCTCTTAACTAACACATCGTTCCTGAGGACTGTCTTCACTTACTTAAGGGTGCCATGTAAACAGAAATTAAATTATAAGAATAAATAGATAAATATTCATACATAGAAAATGGTTGGTGCACAGGTTTTCTGACTAGATTCTAAGATATGAGATTCCACCTCCACTCATTTCCAACACAATCTCTTTCCCAAGCCAATCTAATCAACCAAACAGCTTTCAAATTTTAGGACTACTCCTACAATTGACTTTTTAAGTTATAGACAATATGTTGAGTATTCTACAACAATATCATAAATTGGTAGCTCTGAATTCAAGGACAGACAATATATTGAGTATCCTACAACAATATCATCAATTGTTAGCTCTCAATTCAAGCAAATGATAATTTGTAGGATATAAAAGTTAACAGAATTAGTTAAAGATAATGTGATAAAATACTTAAACACGGCCACAAACTGTCAAGAGAAGAGCCAGTAATATACCAATTAATGTTGAGGGAAGCTTGTCTAAGTCAGGGCCCTGTGCATGTTCAATAAGAGGAAATTCCAGACAGTGTATGCCATATTTTTCCTACAGCCAACACTCACAATCTCAATACCAGAAGACAAACAGTGGAAGTTAATCTATGCCAGACTTTTAAAATATGAATGAAAAAAAAAAAAAAGGGAAATTGGCAAACACCAAAATGTCTATAATCGATTATTCAAGTATGGCTCAACCATATGTCATTTCCAAGAAATGCATAAATCTCAAAATCAATTAAATGCAAAGACTCCAACATTGCCATATGCTACTCCCTCCGCCCCTTAATTAGATTCCTACTTCTCTCTATTATGTGAGTAATAAATGCTAAAAATAGGAATCTAATAAAGGGACAGAGGGAGTATCAAATTATTGACACAAATATGTATAGCTAATAAAATTTGAACTAAGAATGCCCACTTACAAGCTCATGATTGATTCATTGGGCTTTGGACATCTTTGAACTGTAACTTGTATGGACACCGACATTTGCCAAACTTTCGTGTTTTAAGACTTCTATGACTGCTCGCACTGTCAGCCATAAAATCATGGCCCTTTATTGCTAAGAACTCAAATGACTTGTTCGGCTCCTCTGCTAAAAAAGAAAACGCAAAAGCAAGCGGATGGTTCTAATCAAGAGGGTTTTACTCAAGATCTCTCTTTCCAGTCAAATAGCCATATAAACTAAGTTGTATATTCAAAATGAAAGGAAAATTAAAAGGGCTTTTACATCTACTAAGGGTGTGCTCCAAGCTTAAGAATTAAAGGGAATTAGTGTACTTATTAATGTACTTAAATTTTCAAAAAATTAAATTAAATTAAATTTAAAAAAAAAAAAGAAAAAAGAGAAACAAATGAGAAGAAAAAATGAAATTGAGGATATTTCAAAGGTAGAGATCGTATGGTTTTACACATCACAAACTTGTTTTACACGAAAGGTATGATGATCTTAGGGAGTTATATGCGGAAAATGAATCACAGGAGAATTATAGGACGGCAGTTCATGAGTTAGAAGTAGAAATTATTTGTATTTCGTAAGTTCCTGCTAATGACGCTTTATGTTTTGCACCAAGTTGCTCTTATAAATCATGGTCAAGTTGTTAAAGAACAATGTGGCATCACATCACCACATAATTAAAACAACAATACTCCCTCTATCCGGGATTAGTGTTCACATTAATAATCCAAATTACACTACCAATGAGCAATTAATTCCAGACGGAAGGAGTAGCATTCACTCTGAAAGGGATTAAAAATTTTAAGGTTTGATTCTATATTGAAGAACAAATAAAGTTTCGAGTAATTATCATCTTGTGATCATCCCTATATTACTACTTTGTTAGTAAATAAGCAAATGAAACGGAAAAATACTTATCTAAGTTGTGTAGACCATATTATCAATGGCCACTCGTGGAAAGCAATGACCTAAAAGACGAAACCGCGCTACCCCGGTGCAATAGACATCCTCAAGGATAAGCACGGTGTCGGAATTTGTGTGCACCCACAAACCCGACTAGAAACCAGAATTCTTGCCCAAAAAACCGAAGGGATATTTTTAAGAGAAGGTAAGAAAGATGGCTGATTTTTGTTATGTATTATGGAAGTGTTTAAGGTTGATTTATAAGGGAATAGAGGGAGCAAAACGACAAGCAATTAAGGGGGAAACGGTCATCAACTAAGTGGTGTAAAATCCACCGATTAATTCCCCAGCTAGCTTTAACCAACATTAAAAGGTGTAACAAGTAGTCTTTAGCCAACAACATTAATCAGCAATAATATCCATTAAAATAGCAATAAGAGGAAGCTAAAATCAAGGGATCCCATATTCCCAATAGTCATTAAATCCCAACAGTCAAAAGAATAAATATCGTAACTTAAACAACTTCCAACATACTTAACCCATTAATCCCATTATCTGTAATGATTAATGTGTTATTCTGGAATCTGAATACACCATTCATTTGGCCTGGTAAGACACTGCATTCTGCATATTAACATTTCGATATTGACATTCAATCGTCTGTTCTCATTTCAAAATCGGTTTCCATTTACAACTTATAATGAACAATGTTCAATTAAATGATCCTTTTGAACTGACAATGCATATATAAACCGCACCAATTGAACAAAATACTTGCAATTCTTCAAAATTTCCATCTCACAACAAATTAACCCCAACACCTCCACATTCCCATTAAACCTAAATTCCTATTTTGGCACTAATTAATCAAATTTCTAAATCAAACCCTTAAATACCCATAATTTGAATCAACTACAGCAAACCAAAACGCATAAAAAATAACTCCAATAAATCAAACAAAGGGAATTTCAGCAATTTCAATTAATTTCAGTTACAAAAACGAAATGCAGGGAAATTGAACAATGGAATTTGAATCAAGCTAAGTGACATTACCAAAGCATTGATGAGCTTGGCATTCTTGCCACGTTCTCTGGTAACGACAACTTTAGGGGACAATTGCGAAGATGAAGATGCTCGTATTGAAGAGCAAGGAAGAAGATGTTGATGACGAAGCTTCGTGAAAGAGGAAGGAGAAGACAGAAATGGAGGAGAGATAAAAGTTTGAAAAGTGAGAGAAGCCATTTTTGGAAAAACGGGAAAGGAGAACTCGGTGAATAAACCGCGACCTTGGCTTCCTAAACCGGGAATTGCCGGGCAATCTCTATGTTTAGTGAATTTTGTTCATATTAGGGTGTTAATTGTCTAATTGAGCTGAGCAGTCACGATCAATTTAAAATTGACTTGGTCGAAACTTGGTTAAAAATTCAGCTTGAGTTGGATCGATTTGAATTCAGCTTGACTTGAAAGGTTAACGAGTATAAATTGAGCAAGCTCTAATTCGACTTGATAAGCTCGTGAGTAACTCGATGAAATTTTTTTATTAGTATATAATTTACAAAATTACAAATGAAGTTATCATGTTTTTGTAAAATGTGATACATAATAAGAGTTAATTAATATTATCAAAAAAGAATGAAGTAAAAAGAATGAAGTAAATCTTTAATAATAAATACTTACGTGTTTCAAAAAAAGAATTAATAAATACTTACGAAAACTATAATACCTCGTATTTTTATACGTATTTTATTTAAAATAAGTATTTTAAGAAATATTTAAATAAATTGAAATGTTTTATTTATAGTATTTTAATTATTCATTTTTAATAAATTTAGAAATATTTTGTAAAAGGAAAGTTTATTTAATTAATTATGTTATTTAAGTTGGGGATTAATTTAAGAAAGTTTTATTTTAGTAAAGTTTTACCCCCTCTGTTTTTAAATACTTGCTCCATTTCTCCTTGTGCGGAGTTTTAGGATAAATTGGAGAAAATAACAATATATGGAGGTAGTGGGATAATTGGAAGAATAAAAAATTGTAAAAAGCAAAAGTAGTGGAGAGGATTGGAGGAGAGAAAATATGTGGTGGGTCCACTAGGTGAGAGATATTAGTTAAATATTGTAAAAACTTTCCAAATAAAGAAATGGAGCAAGCATTTAAAAACGGCCGAAAAAGGAAAGTGGAGCAAGTATTTAAAAACGGAAGGAGTATTAAAAAAGGGGAAGGGGAAGGGGAAAAAGAAAGAAAAAGAAAAGAAAATAAGGAGAAGGGAGAGAAAGATTACCTTGGATTTTCTCCACTCTGGGCAAAGTTTGATTTGCCTCAAGTGTTGGATATTTATACCCAGCACCAATATCCAAAGCACCGTATCGAATGGCACCTACAAAGATGAGTGAATTAAATACATCAAACCCAGTGCATCTCCTTGGGGAGCACCAATTTTGTTTGTTAAGAAGAAAGATGGGAGCATGATGTTGTGTATTGATTACATGGAATTAAATAAGGTGGCCATAAATTGATGATTTGTTTGATCAATTGAAAGGTGCAACAGTGTTTTCTAAGATTGACTTGAGGCCCGGATATCACCAGTTGAGGATTGCAGATGAAGACATATCTAAAACTGCATTTAGGACGAGATATGGACACTATGAGTTTACGGTGATGCCATTTGGATTGACTAATGCTGCGGAAATCTTTATGGATTTGATGAATAGAGTGTTTCATCAATTTATGGATAAGTTTGTAGTAGTGTTCATAGATGATATATTAGTGTATTCAAATAGCAAAGAAGAGCATGTAGAACACCTGAAGGCAAATCTGCAAACTCTGAGAGAAAACCATCTTGATGCAAAGTTTTCTAAGTGTGAATTTTGGTTGGAAAAGGTAGCATTCTTAGGTCATTCTTTGTCTAAGGATGGCGTGGAAGTAGATCCAGCCAAGATCGAAGTTATGAACGGTTAGCCTACGCCCAAAACAGTGTCTGATGTTCGGAGTTTCTTAGGTCTAGCAGGATATTATAGGCGTTTTGTGAAAGATTTCTCAAAGATTGCTAAACATATGACTTCTGATAAAGGACAAGAAATTCGAGTGGGATGATAGGTGTAAAGAAACATTCCAACTCTTGAAACAGAAGTTGGTTACAGCACTAGTGCTTACACTTCCAGATGACAGTGGTATCTATGATGTGTATAGTGATGCATCAAAGAATAGCTTAGCTTGGGATATGTGTTTGGTGCAAAATAGGAAGGTAATTGCATACGCATCATTGCAGTTAAAGACCTATGAGGTGAATTACCCAACCCATGATTTAGAACTTAGTGCAATTATATTTGCACTAAAGATCTGACGTCATTACTTGTATGGAGTCAAATGTAGAATTTACACAGACCATAAGAGCTTGAAGTACATTTCCACTCAAAAAGATTTGAACTCTCGCCAAAGAGATGGTTAGAGGATATGACGGAGTATGACTTGGACATATAGTATCATGAAGGAAAAGCAAATGTAGTTGCAGATGCTCTAAGTCGTAAGATTAGTCATGGATTGAATACTTTGGAGGTGGCTGATGAGTTATGTAGGGAAATGAGTAAAGTGAACTTAGAAGTTGTAGAATGGGGAGTACCAGCTGGCATTCTTGTGAATTTGACTATTCAACTAACCATATTCGATGAAATAAAGGAAAATCAAGAAGGAGATGTAAAATTGGATAGAATTCGTGAGAAAATAAAACAAGGCAAAGCTACAGATTTCAAAATTCATGAAGATGGGAATTTGAGGTACAAAGGTAGATCATGTGTACCTCAAAAGTGTGAGGAAGTGAAAGTTAATGGAAGAGGGACATAATACACCCTATTCAGTGTACCCAGGAGGGGATAAGCTATACAAGGACTTGAAAAAGGTGTATTGGTGGCCTAGAATGAAGTTGTGGAATTTGTAGCAAAGTGTCTGACTTGCCAAAAGGTGAAAATAGAGCACAAGAGACCCAAGGGACTGTGTATTCATTGGAAATTCCTAGGTGGAAGTGGGATTGCATTTCAATGGATTTTGTGACTTGCCTTCCAAAATCAAAGAGTGGAAATGAGACCATTTGGGTAGTGGTGGACAGACTTACAAAATCTACAGTGTTTATACCAATGAAGGAGACTTGCACTAGTAGAAAAACTTTCATTTGCGTCGCCTCTTTTGCGTCACTCGTAGAAACAAGCGAAGAAAATGATATATTTTAGCTTCATAACAAGTTATTTGCGTCGCTCATTATCTTGAAGCGACACAAAAGCCTGATATGCTTCACCTTTATGTTATTTGCGTCGCGTTTATTTATTAGAACGACGCAAATAACAGTCTTATTTGCGTCACTCCTTTAGGGACAAGTGACGCAAATGAGTTTGTGAGTTATTTGCATCACTTCTTTAATTAGTGAGCGACACAAATAGTTAATTCATATCATTACATTTAAGTTATTTGCGTCACTTCTTTAATTAATGAGCGACGCAAATAAGTATAGGTTAGTAATTAATTCTAAATTTTCTACCCATCTCGCCATTTGCTGCTGCCTCCAAATTCGATATACCCACACAAAAAAATACTCTTGCTACCCCATTTGTTGCTGCCTTCAACAACTGAATTCAACACAGCAATTCGACCAAACCAAAACCCCAGAAAAAAAAAAAGAAAGATCGAAGCCAAAAATCTCCCATTTTCGAGCACAAAATCGAACCAAAACCCGCAGCAAAATCGAACACTAAAAACCCCATGAAAATAGAGCAAAAACCCCCCAATTGGAGCAGAAGTTCGGTGTTTAAACCCCCAGCAAATTCAAACCCTGCACAGAAAATCGAACATTTTTCAGCCAAAAACCCCCCAATTCAAGCAGAAATTCCAACCTCAACCCCAGCAATTTCGAACCCTGAAAACCCTAGAAAAATTGAACATTTTCGAGCCAAACCCCCCCCCCCCCAATTCGAGCAGAAATTCGAACCTAAAACCCCAACAAATTTGAACCCTTGTTTTCTTTATGGTTTTTGTTGATTTAATGGTTGAATTTTGCCACAATCCTAGGTTTTTTTTTCTCCTGATTTTAGGGTTTTGTGTTATTTTTAATTGGGTGCTCTTCAATTGTTGTTTTCAATGCATTTATTGATTCAATCTTTGAATTTTGTCTCTAATTTAGGGATATGTTTGGCATTCTAGGGTTATTGTGATGTTTTATTACTTCTAATTGTTTGTGTTTTGGAATTTTATTAGAAAAGCGAAGCTTTACAGATTTGATAAAGAAGGAAATCAATGGAAAGAAAGGGGTACTGGTACAATGAAGTTTCTAAAGCATAAGGTTTCTGGGAAGTTCGATTGGTTATGCGGCACTCTAAAACTCTTATGATTTGTGCTAATCATCTGAGTATGTGACTTTATTTCTATCATTTTGTAATTGTTCTGTTTTTTTTTTTTTTTTTTTTTTTTTTTGTTTTTTGTATAATTATTGTGTGAAATTGCTTGAATTAATGAATTTTTTCTATGAATGATCAATTTGTATTTGTAGTTATTGCGGGTATGATGGTTCAAGAGCATGCCAGGAAAGAAAAATATTGTATGTGGGTTGCTAGTGATTACGCTGATGGAGAGTTGAAGGAGGAGATGTTCTGTATCCGATTCGTATCGATTCAGACTGAGTAAATTTGCTTTAAATTAAATGTTTATTACCTGTGCTGCTGGTCCAATATCCTTGTGTTTTTGCAATTTGCCAATTAAACGAATTTTAGGGTTATCTTTGAGTTTGTTGTCCAATTTTTTGATTAATTTGGTTTCCATCGCGAATTGCTAATTGATTTTAATCTCGATATTAATCTCGAATTTTTTCTTGAAGAACCCCAAACATTGAATTTGTTGCCCTTTTGCTGAATTTGATCTTAAAATTTGCTTAATTCTTCAAGTCTATTTGTGAATTTCATTCAACCCATACAATTTGCTGAATTTCCTCATCCTTAAAGAAGGTTTTTCTCATTAATCTTTTAGTTTTGCTAATTTCCCCTTTTAATTTTGCTTAATTTTTATGTACTTTGCTATAATCCATACGATTTAACGAATGTTTTGGGTTTTGTCAATTTCTCATTACTATATGTTTACTTATTTTGTCAATTTCGATTCTGTTTTACCTTATTAATATGGTTTTTTCTTTCTATTTAATCAATAATTGAAGCTATAATTCCATTATATGTTGTCTATACACAAGCTGCACTTGAAGAACTCTCTGTCAAAAAGAAGAGGCCGATAAAAAGCATTACTATATGTTTTGTCAATTTTATCATTACTATATGTTTACATATTTTGTTGAAACTTT